AAAAAAAAAAAAAAAAAGAAAAAAAAATTCCATAGAAATCTTTCATTACCTTTCAAACAACAGTGAACAATAGTCACACACCGAGTGACAATGGGATATTGTACTATTGTGCGTACACACTATTGCTCAAAAGTATTTTAAATTAGAGAATTGCAAATAGAGGGGTTCGAAACAATTGAATTCTTTCTGAAGAGCTTTAAAGTGGAATTTCATGGCCACGATTTTATAATTTAATTATGTTTGAATATTAAGTACAGCATTTGAATATTATACATATATGTTGTATAAAATAGTTTGAAATATACACATGTACATAAAATGTAATAGTAACGTTAAAATCGAGATAAAATTGAAAATGTTTAATTATTAAAGATAGAATATTATTTGCATATAAAATTGTGGACAAATGAAATCCAACATACAAAAACGAAATGCTGAAACAAAATGTATGAAATTAAACGAGATATAAGAAAATATAAATTCATACTTTTGTATGTGTAATTAAAAAAAAAAAAAAAAAAAAAAGAAAAAGGAAAGAAAATCAACGTAGGAAATTAAATACAGATCTAGATTTCTAAAAAAACAAAAAAATTATAATTATAAATCTTCTAATTTTCTTTTTTTAAATGATCCGATTTAAAATAATGGCAGACTCAGTTTTCAGCTAGATATTTTTGGAAACTCTGAACTTTCTTTACACATCAATCAGCAGTTCCTTTGTTCAAAATGATCAACCAATTATATAATTTTATATATATATATATATAAAAAAAAAGAATTCTCTTTACTTAAAGTGCGTCACATGTTACAATGTAATTATTTGTACTATAGAGGACATACACGTCTTGAGTAAATTGAGGACATTCACGTAGAAGAAAAAGTTTGAAGCAAAATTCGTCCCCGCAAACGTATTGCGCGTGTCAAGCGAAAAATGGACACAGGTGGAAGAAACATCGGTGGAGATATTTTCCAGCGCGTCGATGGCTCGATAAAACGATTTCGAACACTTTGAAAATTGAAATTGAAACCCACCCCCGGTGGTGGGATATTGTTACCGATTGCTGGCTGAGTGATCGTTGACCAAGGTCTTCCCCTCCCGTCCCCTGCCCCCCCCCCCCCGCTGATTCGCTCGGCCGATGCGATTGATTGAAGATGCCACGAGTGCTCTGTGATAAAAATCAAAACGCGGACGTATCCGATGCAGCGACACTTCACATTTTTCCTCCCCGATGATTGTGGACATATGCACACATATTTCAATAGCAGACACTCGTTCGTTGATTTTATCGATCATTCGAAGGCGGAGGAATTGCTGGAAGATCGCTCGGATGGAAGATAAACATTTTAAACTGCTTTCTTAGATTTGCAAACTAACAATCTAATTTCGCATCCAATTATTTTATATATTTATATAACTTTATGTTCTATCTTTAGTCTCATATTTTCTATTTATATACAACGATAATGTAAATTATTATTCGTGAATTCATCACGGAATAATATTGTATGATATTCGTTTAATTGCATCGTTGTAAAATAATTGTGCTTTTGTAATTCGTTTCACGTATTTTTATCATACGTGATATTTTCGAGGCAAATTGTCGCAAAATATCTCGCTAACAATTAAAGGTAATTCAATGCTTTCTTTTGACTTGACAAACAATATTTCAAAACGAAATATGCGATTTCGTTTGAAAAAGTAACGTCGAAACTTGGAAATAATCGATGACTTTTGAAACCATAAAACCTTCGCATTTAACGATTCTTTATCAGGCATTACTAGCCTAATTTAGAATTTATTCGAGGCGCGCGAATTATTAATTTTGGATAATTACTTTGATTTCATTT